AGTTACCCAGAGGCTCTACAGTGTAGACACAGCCGTGCCTCAAGAATCTTTAAAACACGCACAGACATCATTATATACCGTCGAAGATTCTGCTTTCATGTTTTGGGCCATGTTTTCACCTTACAATGTAAATCTATACATGACTGTGCACACAGCCCAGCTGCGCACCTTCCTCCTCTGTTCCGTTCCTGTGCTACGTTGACAAATTCACACAACAGTGAGACGCTTTCACTTGACGAACTGGAATAATGGAGCAACATCTGTGGCCTTAAGTAAACACAGGCATTGACTGCACACGCTGGCAGCCTTTGAGAGACTTTCACTGATTAGGGAAATTGGGCAATGTTTTTTCTCCAACAGGACCCTGGTGGTTGACATAAGTGGGATTAGCAGAGGAATACAAAGCAAACGAGAGCTGCACCTGCCTCTGCTGTCCCTCTGCTCGGAGAACACGCGTGGCGCCGAAAACAGACTGTGACAGCGCCGTGGGAAAAGGCAGGCTGCGGGAGTGCAGGTGCGGCGGAGTCGAAGGAGGTGCAGAGTCCAAAATAAAGTGCAGGGCTTGTTGTTGATGTCTAAATTAGATAAGGAGTGATTATTTCCTTAATTGAGGGCTTCTGTCTTGTTTAAGTGGTAAACAAGTAAATGACATTTTAATTCATCTCATCGCGAGGTCTTTATCTTCTTCAGCTCGTCAGAGAATTTCAGCACGAAGCTACTGTATATTTGCCGTTTTAGTTGCATATTCATAACCAATTCAACCTGTGGCAATTTCCCTGCCTCAGCTGAGCTTGTGTAGATACAACAATGATTAATTATGAGTGCCTCTGTATCTTTCCCGCTTGTTTGTAAAGAGTCGTATCTGCTACATGTCATAGCCAATTTAATCCCACTAAACAGAATTTGGCCTTGATAGAGCTACAAAGCATAAAATGATCAACGCACGATGTTCTGCATTTCCCCTGCAGGGATGTTTCTCTGCTGTGCCCTTTGATTCTGCATAAACAGGATAAAAACGACGCCCTGCCTCCCTTGCCTTTTTGGTCATTACTAATGGCAGCGTGTCTATGGGCAGAGACGTTATGGTTGTCCAATTACTGTGATTATATCCGTCCATGTTGTTCTAATGTCAAACAAAGTTGCTTTGAAGGTTTTCTTCCTTTTTATTTATTTCGTTTTAAAGCGAGCGAGCGAACGAATGCGCGGGAGTTGAGGGATGTACAGCACGTGAAAATATCCCAAATAATGTCTCATACCTCAGTAGGAGCCAAGTGAGTGTGGATTTGCGCAATACAGGGAGGATCCTTGTTCGGAAATGTAACGAGATGACAAAATGTTGGAAGATGAAGATTGCTACTTCCTCGGAAACAGAGGCCTCCACATCTGGCCTGCAGTGCAGAGCTCTCTCTCTGAATAATGAGGGCTTTCTCCTCACAGAGAGGAAGGTTCTGCTGATCAGTGTTGTGTAATAATTGAGAAAGTCCCGTGGTTATTTTTTGTGTGCGTGTATGCGTGTGTGTTGAGAGGATATCTGGGTTATCCATACACGTGTGTGCATACACTGAAATTCTGGTGTTCTTTGGTAAAGTCGTTATAATTTTTAAGGCCTGAAAATGAAAATCTGAACACTTTGAACACTTTATGTTAATTCATGATCGTTTTAGAGTGTCTAGTCTTGAATAAAGTTTTCTGTGTCTTGCTTTAAATTAAAAGGCGAAGCAACTTGTGGACCAAAGTGCCGTCTACTGCAGGTTCATTCAAATTAAATACAAATGTTTCGCAGTATTGTTCAGTAGAAGGCTTTTTGGAGGAATCTGTGCAGCAATGAATTTTTTTTCTGTAATGAGAAAAAAGAAAATCAGAAAATCTCACATTAGATTTGCTATCTGAATTGTTTTAGCATGAATACAGCTGCTGTACAGTTGCCTGTGCAAGCCTCTTTGCAACCCACCTCCACCTAAGCTCCAATTTGCCATGTGATTTCGGATTTAGAGTCATGTCACTGAAGCCTGCTCGGGGTTTAGTGCTGCTGTTCTCCCTGTTTTAGGCTTTCCATTAGGCCATGCTCATAACAATCTTCTTTTAACTGAAATGCAACCAAATAAGAAAATAACAGCATCACTTGTTGTATCACTGATTAACATCTATCCATTTTGTATCTCTTAGAGTAAGTCTTAAGGAAAGGATTGTTTTCTTCAGCTGTTGAGGTTAATAGAGTGTTTCTATCAAGACAGTAGTGAGATGAAACCTGAGACAGAAGGCAGAAATACAAAGGTAACCCCTCAGACACTCACCTACACAGAACCAACCACCCACTTACTGAAGAAGGCTTGATAAAATATTAAAGCAGAAGGTTTCAGAGATTCTCAAAGAAGAGGGATGATATGGCTAGCAGCTAATATAGAACAGACAAGAAATGATGCTACAGCTTCATTTGAGCCCAGAGACAAGAAGTCAGATAGAAGATGACAGAGAGAACAAGGCATCCCACCTTGTTTATGTTCTTTCCCCCTACCATTTTGAGATCAGCCTTCAACGTCAGTGAGAGGAAACAAGCGAGAGGAACCAACTGGCAAACGGGAAGGGAGGAGTGTGGAGAAATGAAGGGATGAGAGCTAAGTGCACAGGGAGAGCCAACCAGGCTAGCCAGTCAGAGAGGAAAAAGAGGGGAGATCAGCCACAGCCAGAATCAATTTCCCAGACCCAGAGTTCATTTCATCAATCAGCGCACAGATAGAGGCACATACACTACGGGTTAGCTTGGGCTCTTGCCAAG